CTCAAGTACAGGATGGTGTCTCTGTTCACGCTTGTAAGCTCTGGGTCTGACACGAGGCAGATGCTTCAGGGTTTGCTCAATAACCAGCCCCCTATCCCATAGCAAGTGAGAGGTGCACAGCTACACCCAGATCCTAGCTAGGCCTTCTGTCGAGGAGTCACACAATGGTAAAAATACTGATCGCACACACATGTAAGTAGCAAACATACAGTAAGTATTCCACGGGTTTTATAGACAACAGTGTAAGAACCAGAGAAATAAGCAATCAAGGAAGACTGGGGTAGCTATCAGACCGATTTTACTGGAGAATACAGAAATCAAGGTAGGTGTTCGACGAAGCTAGGCTTTTCACAAGCCGAGAAGGGGAAACAGTAGCCCGGGCTGGGGAAAGGATATAAATAAAGTAATAAAAAGAAGAATGTGCTTGGTGGGTGCAGGGAATGTTGTTTGGTGGACGCTCTGTATAAGAAGGTAGGAAAAGGTAAAGAGGCAAAGGCAGGCAATCTTTAATGCAGAGACACATGAATGTCAAGATAAGCAATTAGGACATCAGACCACAGGAAATGGGTAACCACTAAGAGTCTGGGGACACAAAAAAATGGAAATACAAAAATATTCATTTCAAGATCTCTTAAAAATAGAGTTTTCTAGGGGTTCAGGATCATAAAACCATATATTAAAGAAGCCACTAGACTGATGAAAGCCAGGAGTCAGAAGAATTACCGATAACTCCAATATTAGAGGATGTACTGACTTAGAGAACAGTATTTGAAGCCCCAAGGTGGATGGTATCATCAATTAAAGAGCACAGAGCAAGCCACTGAGAAACTCTGAAGCGTTATCCTCCAAGGGGATAATCTGACAGGCCAGATCCATCAGACCAGGCTGGGAGAGAGGTGAGAAGAGTGGGGAGCAAGCCAACAGAGGAACGCCAGTGTTGAAAGTTCAAATGGAAACAAGTCAGCGGTAGTTGCCGCCATATTGGCAAGAAGTGCTTAAGGAATAACCAAGTATGTTGCCCATCTGTTTCATCGGCTCAAGGCGATTTCTCTGTGTTCGACAAAGCAGCGGAGTACATGCTGAAACTGGAGAGGTGAAACTTTTGAGAACACAAGAAAGAAAAAAAAATGTTTGACAGATCAAGCTGTGATTCTCATCCAGATACAATGCCTGATTCAGACCGAAATAAGTAAGTTACTTCATGCTGAGTCAAATCTTCTTTAGCTTACTTTTTTCCACATGATGCTAAATGTACATCATCATTTGATCACTCTTCTTGGAAATACATTAATATAATAAGAAATGTAGAAAAACATCAAGCTTTCATGTATATCGATAAATCAGGAAAAAAAGGAATATCTCTCCAATTTTCAAATTTGTTCAAAGATTACTAATATTAGCCCTAATTATGCCATGCTTTCTTTGGACCATTTAAAATGCTTTGGGATAAAGATACATCATGCAAATAATGCTAGCATATGCCATTTTTAAAATGTATTTTAATTAAAATGGTTTCTAATTTCTATTTTAATTTCCTCTTTGACCCATAAATCATTTAGAGGTTATTTGTTTCCAGGCAGCTAAGGACTCCTTATTAAATTTGAGTTTAAGTCTACTGTGCTCGGAGAACATGCTCTGAACAACTTCCATCTTGAAACTTGGAGACATTTTCTTTAGGGTCCAGCACATGATCTATTTGGGAAAAGGTTCCATATGGACTTTAAAGAATGCAAATTCTATTTTTGCTGGGTGCAGCATTCTATATGGCAATTAGGTCAAAGTTATTCATCACTTTATCATGATCTTCTGTATCCTTACTAATTCTTTGTCTCTTTGTTCTTCAGGTTCTTGAAGTATGTGTGTGTCCCACTAGGGTTGTAGAATTATTTCATTTTGGACCTTCCTGCCAATTTCTGCTATATATATTTTGAAGTTATGTTATTTGTAACATACAGATTCAAGGTGGTGATACTGAGTCCTCTATCATTATGAAATCATCTCTCTTTATCTCAACGTAGCATTACCATGTACTTTGGTATTAGCGTAGTTAAACCAGCTTTGCTTCTGTTAGTGTATATATTGTTTATCTTCTTCCATCCTTCTGTTTAAAGTATGTCACGTTTAAAAATTGTGAATCACTATATTGTACACTTGTAACATACAATACTGGACAGAAACTCTATTTTAATAAAAAATAAAATATTTTAAAATAAATAAATAAAGTATGTCATTTGTAAGCAGTGTATAATAGGGTTTCAGTTATTTATCCAGTCTGACAAACTCAGTCTTTCACTTGGAGTATTTAGTCCATTTACATGAAATGTAATTACCTATATAAATGGATTTATATTTGCCATCTTGCTCCTTGCTTTCAATTTGACTTCCTATTTTATGCCCACCTTTTATTCTCTTTTTTTGGATTGATACAATGTTTTATTCCATATTCCCCCTCTTTTAACCTATTATATATACACATTTTATTACTTTAAAAGTTACCTTAGAGATTACAATATGCATCCCTTACAAGCCAAGACAAATTATTACTTTTACTATTCCAAATAATCCTAGAACCTTAAAATGTTTTAACTTCACTAACCCCTCTCCTGTGTTCTGTGCTGAGATATTTTAGCTTTACATCCATTTCAAACTCAAAAAACATATTATAGTTTTGTATGGTCAACATTCTTGTATTCTGTATACATATTTACCCTTTATGATGTCTTTTTTCCCTTTCTACATTTCCATCTGGGGTAAGTTCCCTTCTGCTTAAAGTATCTCCCTTTAGTAGTCACTGTAATGCAGTTCCATTACCGACAAATTCCCTCAGCTTTTGTCTGAAAATGTCTTTATTTAACCTTCATTTTTGAAGGAAGTTTTTGCTGGGAAAAGAATTCTAGGTTGGCTTTTTTTTTCTTTCAATTATTCTTAAGATGGCCATTTCATTCTTTCTTTTTTCTTAATCATTTATTTTAAGATGTCACAGTCATGTTGGTAATATTATTGCCCCTTTAAAAGTAAGGTTGCTTTTTAAAAGCAACATCTAGTTGCTTTTAAAATTGTTTCTTTGTCATCCGGTTTCTATAGTCCTTTATTGATGTGTAAAGATATGTTTCCTTTGTACTCATCCTGTTTGGGATGTTGTAAGATTTTTTTGAATCTGCAAGCTGCTATCTTTCATCATTTTATAAAATTCTTAGTATTATATCCTCAAATATTGCTTCTGTCCCGTTTTCTCTCTTCTCTTTCTGGGACTCCAATTCTACACGTTTTAGACCTCTTAACCATATCTCACATGTCTCTAATGCCCTTATTTCTTTTTAATATTCTTTTTTCTCTGTAATTCAGTTTGAGATTATCTACTGACCTGCCTCCCTGTTTATCAATCCTGTCTCGCATTGTGATAATCTGCTATTGGTTCTAGCCATTAGGTTCTAATTTAAAATACTGTACTTTATGTTCTAGAATATCTATTTGGTTTTCCACAATAAATTCAAATTCTGGTAAAACTCTCCATTCCTCCATCTAATTATTTTGTCCATCTTTTCCTCTATCATCCTGAACATGTTATTTATAGTTATTTTTAAGTATTTGTCAACTAACTCTAATATCTGATTCATCTGTGGGTCTGCTTCGATTGCCTTGTTTATAAGTCATATGATCTTGCTTCTTGGGTCTCAAATCATTTTTTACTATATGATGAACACTGTAGAGTCTCTATATATTGTTATTTTCTGCCTGCAAAAGAGACAGAGGGCTCCCCCTGTTCTCTGCTACACAGGTGGAGGGGAGTTCATCACTCAACAGGGGGCTGAGCTGGGCTAGTCTGGGTTGCCATTTCTGTAGGACTCAGTTTGCCTCTGGTTTGCCCCTGTTCCTAAGGCCTGGCTCTCTATGGAGTCCAATGAGAGATCTTTGTCTCCGCAGTACTGGATTCAGTTCTGCCCGTAAGACGTTTTCAGAATAGTTCTTTGGCCCTCGTCCCATTCAGCTTCAAAACTTGGCACGTGTCTTGAGAAGGAGACTAAATCAACTTTAATTTGTTTAATGTGTTCTTCACTCCAGACTCAGAAACCTCTTCTGGTTTTTCTATCCGCTAGGAACAGCGCTCTGTAGGGGCCAAACCTGGATTCTCACCTGCCCACTCCGCCTGGAATCAACAGTTGCCCCAGTTGTTACTGATCTTCAGTATCAATAGACCCCTCCCTAGGGGTTTCATCTCTTGTCTGTTCCGTTTTCAGACTCCTGCTACAGTAGGACTATATTTCAATATCATTTAATACCATAAGGCTGGGTGAGATTTCAATGTGTCTTCCAGAAGCTTTCAGCCTGTCTCTTCAGATTCCCCTCCAAATGGCTTGATGGGAAAACCAGCTGCGTGTTTGAGGCCTCCCTCTCCCACCAAGTCTCCAATGTGTCACTCCCGCAATGCGTGCCCATAAAACTCTGCTAGTTTCTCCTTCACCCAGTAGCAGCCCTCTGCCTCAGCTTACGTCTCCAGCATCCACAAGCTTCCGCAGAAAATGAACTGGCTGGTAATGCTCAGTGCATCTCTGAATTACTCTCCTTCCTCTGAAATGTCATCCCTATTCCTCACTAACTCCAGAACACTACAGAGCCTTAAAAATACGATTTTCATAGTTGTTGTCAGCATCTCTAATAAATTACATATTATATCTTGAACTACTAATTACTTTCAATAAATTTGTAAATATTTATAAGATATTTAGTAGTCTTAATATTTCCAAAAGTACAGTTTAACCATGCTTTTGAAATAAAAGCATTGATAAAACAGTTACTTCTGGGGAGGGGGAGGGTATATAGCTCAGTGGTAGAGTGCGTGCTTAGCATGTACAAGGTCCTGGGTTCAATCCCCAGCATCTCCATTAAAAAATATATCAATAAATAAAATTCAGTTACCTCCCCCACAAAAAATTCCAAACAAACAAGAAAAACAAAACAAAACAAAACAGCTAAAATTAAAAAACCCAGTTACTTCTTACCTCTTCATAAAACTTCACCTGAGGTACAGCTTCATTAATTTCATTCAAACAAAAATCTTTAAATAGCAAGAAACCTGAAGAGAAAGAATAAAAATTTCAGGGTGGGTAATAAGGGGAAATTTTATCCACAGAGTGTTTTTGAATTAATGTGTTTCAACCTCTTCCTCCCCTACCTTAAAATCTAAAAAACAAAAACACAAAACAAAACAAAAAAAACCTGAAGAGGCTACTTAATGCCGAAGAGGAAATAATCCAGGTAAAGTAAGCAGTATCACAAGCTTGGCTCCGCGCACTGGGGCTCCTCCTCTACTGACAGCCTCCCCTGCCGCTTTTCAAAAGTGCACAATTAACAGTGCTCGTGGTCACCACCATTTAGTGCCACTGGTCACTATAGTGAACAGAAGATTAACCAAAGAAATCAGAGCTACAGGTAGTACAGAAGTATTGGTAAGAGTCACCATGGAGCTAATAAATACTGTGCCCATAGAAACGGAACTAAACTCCTTTAAAAAAACAAAAAACAAAAAACAGGACTTTCCTAACCTTTCCAGGTTTTTCTCCCACCACTGATTACCTGAAGGTCCCCGCCAGGTCCCCACCAAACACCTCATGCCAGAGCAGATCACCCATTCCCAGATCACTCTTTTCTCCTTCACAACTCCAGGCTCCATCTTTAAGCAACCAGTATCTCATGCCTGGGGTACCACCCCCACTGCACAGTGCGAGGTACACGGTGGGAGGCCAGTAAATATTTGTTGAAGGAATGTTTGTCGACGTGGCCCTTCCACCATGCCTCTGCCAAAGTACCTAGCACACCCTAGCTAATGATCTGATTTACAAGTCTCCCACCCCAGTACCAAACCCAGGGCCCAGTTTAATGTCTCACACCTAGTCAAGCCTCCATGAATGAGTGACGTTGAACAGGACAAGCTGATACCAGGCTGAGAGCAGAGGTACTGGAAGATTATAAAAAGTCAAAAACAAAAGGTCAAAACAGTTCAAGGACTGTAAGAAGAAACCAAAGTCACAGGGAAAAAAAAAATTGAAGACCCTCCCCGCAAAAGGCTACAATCTTAAGAGAAGGTAGACCAGCACTCCCCAGGTAGGACAGAGATCATGGAAGAGGCTCTGACAAGATTGTGATTCAAGTTAACAGAAGAATCATGTAACTTGAGGTTGTTACTGCTCCATAAATTCCCTGCCATGGTTCCAGGAACATGACCTTTGAAAA